GGCTGCTCCTGCTGCAGCACCTTCCCCAGCATGGTGCCACGGGTGCCACGGTGGCCCTGCCCGCACGTGTCCTGGAACCGCCGTCCCGAGCTTTCCTCCCTCAGGGGCGCCTCGCCAAGGCACCTGCAAACGTCCAGCTGGCCCCCGTGCTTCTGAGGCGCGGCATGAGTGCCGGCTCCCCCGGGGCTGGCTGGGCTTAGACACCCACGTGCAGAGAGTGGCAGCCACCGCTGTGGACTGGGGGCTCAGGTCCTCCCCCGGGAGGAAGCCCTGCAGCTCCCATCAGAGGCAGCCGCTGCCCCTCTGTGGCCGGGGCACCCCATTGCGGGCAGGGCCGGTCTCGGGCCCGTGGGGCGGCAGTGCTCGGCTTTGGCAGCGCTGGCGGGAGGGCGCCTCTTACATAAGCCCGCGTGTCTGCCTCCCCACGTGTGTCCGCTTCTTCCTGCTTTGAATAGCAGCTCCACATCAGAGTTGGGGATGGGGGGCCCAGAGCCCACTTCCTGGGGGAGGGCAGGGGTGCTAGTCCCCCAGACCCACGGGTGGGTCTGGTGGCTCCAGAGCCTGTGTGTGATCGTGAGGAGGCTGGCCCCAGGGCAGCCAGTCCCTTCCTGCCCAAAGTGCCTGTTAGCTCTCATAGCCCCCCTCATCCCCACTGGGCCTGACCCAGCAAGGCCACTCCTAAGCCCGCTCCCTGCCCTGCTGCCTTCCTCATCCCTCCCCCATACTGCCACTGCCCCCGCCCACTGCCCCCTGGTGACCCTTAGGCCCCAGGTGCTCTGCCCTGTGTAACCCCTGGCCTGCCCACTCCAGTGGCTAGCCCGCCCTGAGGTGCCCAGGGATGGGATGGCCGGGCTGGGGCGGTGCTGGTGCTCATCCCCACCCCTCCCTACACAGGGTTGTGGGGTTTGCTGACCTGTGCTGATCTCCTTTCTTTCAGGGAGGAAGAAAGGGCTCGGTTTCGGGAGCTGCTGGCCAGTCCAGCCTACAGGGCCAGCCCCTTGCTGGCCATCGGGCAGCAGCTGGCCCAGCAGATGCAGCTGGACGGCGGCAGCCAGCTCTGATCTCTGATGCAGCCTGGAGACGTGCCGTGAGCTCCAAGGATCCACCGCTTGCTGTCCTTGCCCTGAGCCTGGCAGGAGAGCCCACTGTGAGGCGTTGGGATGGGGGGGCAGTTCCTCTGTGCCCCCGCGGCCCCCTGGGCTTCCTTCCAGACTGCTCTTGGGTTTCTCTAGGCGGGCCACCACGCAGCAGGCTCTGGGGATGCCCAGCTCCTCTGCAACCCCAAGACGCGGTCATGGTGGGTTCTGTGGGCGCTTGCTGCCCTCCCGGTTCCCAGGGCTCCTGTCTGCCCTTCTTGGGTTGTGGTCCCTGTGCTTCTCCCCAACCCGCTCCCCACCGTGTGTCCCTTTGGCTCCGAGCCCAGGTTGCTCCCCACCTGCCCTTGTGATTGAGGTGAGCCGGGCTGCCGTAGTCTAGCAGTCCGGAGACTGGGAGCAGGCCTGGTCCCGTCCTGGAGTGACACAGCTGACCCGGGAGCAGGATGGTGTCTACTGTTAGAAACCTGGGGCTTGGGGGCCAGACTGCAGGAATAGACTTCAACCCTAAGGGCCTGGGCTTGCCTGGGGAGTGGGAGTTGGGAGTGTGTGCTGTGTGGGGACTCACCGCCCATGTCCTGCGGGGTCAGTGGTGGTGGATACGTGGCCCGGAGGCCTGGGCACCCACGGCAGCAGCTCTGGACCCAGTGAGCGCCCCGTCACTCTTGGGGCCGGGGCCAGGATACCGAGCACCCCTTCACAGGCTGTGGTGTGGGGGTGGGTACCAGTGTGTCCAGGCGCCAGGCACTCTAGGCTTTGTGGCTGAGCCGGCGTGAGCTCCAGGTATGTCCCTGACCTCTGGTGCCCTGGCTGGTGTGCTCGCGACTCATGGACACCTGGGCAGCGTCTACCAAGGCTATCCGGGCGTGGGTGGCTGAAGGGATCCGAGCCCATGCCCCGCCCCCATTGGGCATCCTGGGCCCCTTCTCTGCACAAGAGCACACGGTGTGGCCGCCTCCCAGGAATGGGACACAGAAAGGGACAGATGGGACCACCGAGGCTGCAGGTGGGAGCCTGAGTCCCCTGGGCCGGAGGTCAGCACGGCCGTCTCGCCAGGACTGCCAGCCCCTAAGTGACGGTGCACTCTTGTCCTCAGCACAGAAACCAGTTCTCGATAAGGGAGATGAGTTGTTTACAAAGTGGTATTTGTGACAAACTCATTTTTGCAATAAATAAGTGCTGGGAGAAACTGGGGTACAGGCTGCCCGGAAGGTGATGCAGGCCCCTTGATGTTCCTCCGTCATGTTTTTCCGAATGAGTTTGGTGACTGAGTGCAAGGCTGGTGCGTGTCATCTGGAGGGAAAATGTACTTCCCGGCCTCCAGCGACTCCAGTGTGACCCCGGCCGGCCAGCTGGGCTCCCCTTGTGTCCCGGCTGCCTGGGAGCACGTGTGCTGTGGGAGAGGGAGGGGCCGCACGGGGGAGGGGCGGGCTGCACTTGAGGCCTCAGATCTCCCCCCAGGAGGGTCACCAGAGAAGCCTCAGACGTGTGGGGACCTCCGCTCCAGAGCAGAGTGCCGGGCCCCAGTGACAGCTTACAGGAGAGGCCGTCCCCTGGGTGTCCCCTGGCTGCGGCCGGACGCCTGCCGCTGAGCGGGCGTGTGTATGGTTTCTGATGTGTGTGCCATGGGCGTGGCTGCCTTGGTGGCAGGTGTACGTGGTGAAGTGGAACAGTTCCTGGTGTTGGTGCCTCTTAAACCCTGTGCACTCCTGCTGTGCAGGGGTGCGTGGGTCTGTGTCTCTGGCACCTGCCTGCAGGGTCACCTCTGAAGGTCCCCTGCCCCAGCCGGAAATCTTCAAGACCCCTTTTTAAAAGCACTCCAGCAACCCACGTGGATCCTCCTTCCCCATGAAACACCCCTCTCCTCCTCTTCCCTACTGGAGCCCCTGGTTGGTACAAATGTTGTCGCATTCTTTTGGTGGACGTGTGCATCGGTTATCAGCTGCCGTGGTACCTGTGTGACAGACATCCCCCAAACGTGCAGCCACGTGTTCTCCCCACAAGTCTGGGCCAGGCCGGACTCTTGCCTGAGGCACCCACTGAATTTGTTTCTTGGGTAACAGATCAGCAGACGGGGTGACTTCAAACACTGGGAATGCATTCTGTCATGGAGTCTGGTCATGCTGGCAGGCCCACGCCGTCTCCGGAGGCCTCCAGACAGGGGCAGTCCTGTTTGCCAGCCCCTCTCGTGTCCCCTGGCTGGTGGCTGCATCACTCCTGTCCCTCCCCCTGCCTCCTGTGAGTCATTGGGTCAGGGCCCGCTCTCCTGCAGGACGACCTCCCCTTAATTAATTCCATTGCAAAGATCCTATTTCCAGGTACAGTTGCGTTCTGAGGTTCCACGTAGATGTGCATCTTGGGCGATGCCCTGGGTCTGGGGGGCGGTCGGGGCAGCGGGATCCTTGGAAGCCCCCAGGTGAACCGAAGATGCACATCCAGAGTCGGCTACCACTCGCCAAGTGGGGCGGGGAGGAGGTGAACTCGCCTACAGGGCAAAGCGCTGGGTGTTGGGAGGCTTCATGGGGTGGGACGTTGACACAGGCGAAGGACTGGAAGGCATGGGGCAGTCGTGGACAGCAGAGCACTGCACTGGGGCTTTGGGTGGTGGGCTGGGGTCCCCTCGTGGTGACGAGGGCCTCCTGGTGCCCCACCCCTTCCTGCGCTCCCCCAGACGGCGCCCCAGCCCTTCTTTCTGGCACGTCTGCCCTTGTCCTGCCCGGTGTTAACACGTTCTCCAGGCTGGCTTGCTTCCCCTAGGACGGAAACGATTGAGGGCAGGGTGTGCTTTGCGCTGCTGGGGGGTCAGCAGCCCCACGTGGCAGTGAATGAATGAATGAACCAGAGGCAGGAAACAGTGGGCTGCGTGGGCCCAGGTGACCAAGCCCAGGGCCCAGGTGGGGTGGCCTCGTGTCTGCACGCGGTGTCCAGTGGGGAGAGGGTTCCTGGGGGTGCGGACTCAGGCGCCTGGAGGGGAGGAAGGAGTCGGTATGAACTCACAGCCCTCGGGGTCTGTTCTGGTTCTGGGTGCACCTGCAGGCCGTAGGTGTTCGAGGCCGGCTGGCAGGGCTGGCCCATGTTTGGGTTATTCTCTCAGGTGTCTGGGTCGTTGGGCTGATGATGGCTGCACCCTGTCTATATGGAGCTTTGTCGACGGGGGCCTGGCCCTGGTGCCAGGCGGATGGTGACGCGTGAGCCTCATGCAGCCCCACAGCCTCAGCGTGCCGGCCTTCACGCGGACTCGGGCTCCCTTGCTGCTTCAGAGCCCTTGTTCTGGGCAGAGACGGACATCAGTGAGGGCAGCCTCAGCTGGGTGGTGAGTCAGGCACAGGCAGCCGTGCCTGTCGGTCCCGTGTTGCTTGGAAGTCCGGTGTCGTCCAGACTGCTCCTGGAATGCTCTTTGGGCAGTGGTCACACCGGCCCGTGACCGCTGCTTGGGCTGAGATGCTGGAGCCCAGCCCCCGCCTGGCCCCGGTGGGTCCTTGGCCACCACCCCATGACCCGGGCTCCAGGGTGCTGCTATCACTGCATGTCTCCAGGATATCGGGAGAGCCAGCCGGCTCCTGGAGATAGCAAGACGCCAGCCTTCCGGGCCTTTCTCTGATGTCCTGTTCCCGGGCCAGCTGGTCCCCTGCTTCGGGACCTGAGACCCTCGGCCTGTGTGGACGACTTCCTTATTTTGAGGTCAAACAGACTCAATAAATTGCATTTTCTTCTAAAGGTGTTAAAATAACACGGGTTACAGTGATAATTACAGACGTGTTCCTGATGTTGGCTTGTGTTTCTTAAGGCTTTGTTAAGATTGGGAAATGTTATTTTTCAGATTCTGGGGAAAAAATCAGTGATTACTCGTGTCTTTGAATTCACACGTCCTCTGGTGCCACAGAGGCTGCGGGGCCTCCTGCCAGGCTGAAGCCTTTTCCCTTCCTGTTCTCCTGGGCTCTGCTGGCAGAAGAGGGGGCCTGGGGGCTGGGCCTGCTGAGCCCTGGCTAGGACCTTCTCTGCAGCGGGGGAACCCAAGAGCCTGGAGAGGGGAGAGCCCCCCCACCCCCCGGGCTGGGGCTGGAGCTGGAGTATCTGGTGCCTTTCCTGCTGAGGCTGAGGTCCTCAGGAATGCAGAGCTTCCAGGTACCCCGGGACCCCCATGTATGCCCTGGCCTCTGCCCTCTGCAGGTTCAGGTTCAGGGCAGTGCCTGAAGCCACAGTACAGGGTTGGGGTGTTGTTCTCCCTGCTTTGGTGCCCAGGGTTCTTGCACAGTGGTAATTATTCCAGCCTCCAGTCTCCTGAGTTGGGAGCAGATTCTAATTACATCACGGTGTGTAATTAGAGAATCTATCCTGGTCAGCCCCCGGGCTCTGGGCGCCTGTGTGAACAGCCTTCCCTCTGCCTCCTGCAGACGCACGCCCCTGGGTCTGATGGACCTGGCCCTGGCTGGCCAACCCACGTCCCCCCACCCGACAGGCTAATGTGCCCCATCCTCTGGCCTGCCACCTGGCAGGGTGCACCCCCCCCCCCCCCCATTCCCAGGCAGCCTTTCTGCCCCAGTCTGTAGCTGGGCCTCACACCACACCCAGCACATCAGGAAAGCTCGTTCTGGTGGGGCAGGCAGGCACAGCTGTGTGCAGCCCGTAAACTCAGTGGGCGCCCTGGGCCCCACCAGGAGGTCTCTAGGGGAGGGGACAGTGGCAAGTGTGAGTTAGGAAGATGTCAGCTCCTGCCGGCTGAACTCCCGTCCCAAACAGACTGGTGGTGGAGGCCCTGGGTGGGTGGGTGAGAGGCACACGGGAGGTTGGCTTGGGGCTGACCCAGCATTACTGCAGAGCACCCTGGGGATGCCATCTGGTGGGAGGCCTGAGGAGAGGGGTGCACTGGTCATCTGCCAGTTCGCTGTAGTGCTTGTGACTGAAAACCCAAGTCGTGGGGGCTGATTATGTTGAAATGGGGTGGGTTGCCCCTCCCAGAATGAGAGCCTGGATGCAGGTTGCTGTCAGCAGCCCGGTCTCTCATTCCTTCTGTTGCTAAAGCAGCTGCTAGCACCCCAGCCATCACGTCCACATTCCAGGCGGGAAAAGGGGGAGGGCCAAGGGTGGGTGGTGGTTTCTGTTGCAGTAGGGCAGGGCAAGGCCTGGGCTTCCTCAGCAGAGTCGTCCACACCACTGTCCACCACAGCCCCCAGCGAGCCGGGTGGGTGTTGTATCTCAGCATCATGTGTGCAGTGAGAACTCTCACCAGGTCCTCGGTACTGCTGACCCTGTTGCCAGGGGGTCCAAGCTGTCCTCTGACCTGGGGCCACGGTGAGCACTTTTGTCGATAACTGGACGCACAGCAGTGCAGAGGAAGGGCCAGTGGGGGGGTGGTGGCAGCAGGGTGATCAGGAAGGTGCCCCTGGACGCCTGACTCCTCGTCCCTGGGCCCAGGTCAGACGTCCAAAGGCAGGACGAGAAGGTGCCCCCTGAGAAGGAGGTGGCCGGCGGTCCTGCGCTGGTCAGCCTGCACAGATCCCTCTGGCCCTTCAGATGGGGGGCGAGGGATGGAGGGAGGCACCCGGAGAACCAGCGGGAGGAGTACTGTGGGGTGCTCTGCAGGCAGGGAGGGGCCAGAGCTGCATCCAAGTAAATTCTGGGGCCCCAGCCTGGGTTTGGGGGCAGCCAGGACCTGGGCCTTTTAACGGGGCGTCGGTGGTTTGCGGTCACGCTGCCTCTGCTTGCGTCTTGCCTGACGAGAAGACCTGTCCTGGCAGTGCAGCGGGACCTTCCTGGTGCCTGAGGCTGGTGGGTTGCTAGAGACCCGGCGGCCCTCAAGTCCCAGGCCTCGGCTCCGGCTCTACCTGGGGTCGGGGGGGCGGCCGGACACGGCACAACTTGGCCACAGGGGCGGCCCCGCTGGGCTCAGGTGCTCGCGGACCAGGCCCCTGCCGACAGCGCCTGAGTTCGGGTAGGGGTTGTGCAGACGGATGCAGGGTCCAGGCCCCTGGTCTTCAGACACTCGCGTGTACCATGACGTCTCACACGGAGTAGCACAGTGTGGCTAAGTGCACGCACACGGGAATACACGGGTGTGGACGGACGTGGGTGTACACGCGTGGATAAATGCACATTCTGGGGAGGCCTGTAGAAATCCCTACCATGCTGCCCGGCTCCCACGCACCTGGGACGCTCGCCTTACCCGCCCCAAGGCTCCGGCTGCCATGGTGGGACAGGCCTGGACAACACAGGAGGACTGCTACTGGAGGGGGGAGCGGAGGGCCGGAGCTGTCGGCTGCAGCCCCACATCGTTGTCAGTGCCGCAGGGAGGGGCCGGCCCGCTGTCCCCCTCTCCCAGCGCCAAGGGACACCTTCTCTCGGAGCTGCCTGGAGCCTGAGGTGGCTGCCGTCCCTGACAGCACAGGCTCGGGTGGGGACCATCTCTTGGCACCAAGGGCGGGCTAGGGCCCCACGTTGTGGATAGGCCCAACCCTGGGAGCAGGTGGGGCCCCCTCTTCCAGAAGAGCGCAGGGCCTGGGGACACTTGGGGCTGCTTTGGGGACAGCTCAGCTGCAAGGCCTCTGGGTTTAGCGGTCAGCACTGCGGACTTAACCTGGGCTTGGCCAGAAGCCCTCAGAGGACCCTGTGACCCTGGTCCTGCTTGGTTGAGGGTCCTGACGAGTGCATGACCTTGGCTGGGGGTGAGGGGCAGTAACAGCGCTGACCCTTGGCCGTTCCCGCCCTAGGACGAGGTGCCCTAAACTCCTCGGTCAGTTATCCCCTGTGGGGGGGGGGGGGTGCGCGCTGGTGAGTCCAGATTTGGACAGGAGGCAGCACTGGGGCACATCTTTTGACCCAGGAGATGCTGCTGCTGGCTGGGGTCACACCCTGTGGGGGGGCCAGGCGGGGGTGGGGAATAGACAGGACACTGGCCTGGGAGACCTGGGGAAGTCCTCACCCTAGCCCCACGCGGGGCCCGGCCGACCTCTGGAACACCTGGTCCCACTTGGAAGGACATAACTGTCGTGGGGCACACGCGTGGGACTGTGAGCGTGTGTGTGTGTGCGCGGACGGTATACGAGCTTGCAGGTGCAAACTCAGACATGCTCCGTAGGCGTTTGCGTTACGCGCATGACTTCCTGTCAGAATGGGGCGAAAGCTCTCATTCCAATTCAGGAGCGCTCGTATCAAGAAGAGATGAATTTTACTGAATTCCTTCTTGGTTCCTGTTGAGAAAGTCATGTGTTTTGTTATTTTGTTATTATTTTTCCCGCTGGGGGGCGAATGGTGGGATTACTTTCCCTCATGCTGCTCGGCTTTGCATTCCTGGGGTCACGGGCTTGGCTCGGGTTGTGTTTTGGTTGCTGGGGTTTCCTGAGCGGGGGCTGCTGAGAGGGGCAGCTTGGGCATCGCCTTTGAAACCCGCGGGTCTCCAGGGAGCTTTCCACACGGTGTCTCTGAGCTGCCACCCTCTGGAGGGGGGAGGGGTGGCGGGGAGGAGGCAGATGTGCCTGCCTTTGCCCTGCGCGGAGCCCGTGGATCCCCGAGGCAGGAGCCCACCTGCCCGCCGGGCTCTCACCAGCCCCATGCCCAGCCCCCAGGTGGAAGTCAGGACACAGGCCTCGTGCTGAAGCCCTGGTGTGTGTGTGGGGTGGCCCAGTGCAGCCTCTAGTCCCGCCTTCCTCCTGGGGAGGGAGCCCTGAGGTTCTGCAGAGGCCACTGTGGGCCCAGCGGGACCCTGGCCTGGCCTGCCCCACGGATGTCCTGCTCCCAGCATTCCAGAAGGAGCAGGTCACTGTGTGGCGGTTAGCACCTCTCTCGGGTCTTGCCGTGGGTCTTCCCCTCACAGTCCCTACCTGGACAGGGCCCGCCCTCCTCCCTGGCCCCTGAAGCCTGCGGGGGTCTCCTTGTCATCTGTGACAAAAACCCGCCGCATAAGGAACGTCTCCATTAGTCAGTCACATTCTCCTTCCCAGCCAGCTGCGCGGGGCCTCCCAGCCTGTCTGCGCCGAATAACTAGAAGGCACGGCCAGCCCCCGTGCCACCCTCGACCCTTCCCTTGGTCTTGACTGTAAACGCGCTCAAAGTGAAGTGTCCGCTCAGGAGTGGGGGGCTTGATCTCAGGGGATGTGGAAGGTGAGAGTCATGGGGGACGGGCAGCCTCAGGAGGGGAGCCCGGAGGGGCCCACAGAGGACCGTGTGCCCACGGCCGCCTCCTGGGGAGGCCCAGGGACCCGGTGACCGATTTTCAGAAGCCTGGGTGCGTATTGACTGTGTTGGCTCTGCCAGGGGCGCTTGGGGCCAAGTGGCATCAGGGGTCCCCAATGTCAAGGCCGCTGGGGCGGGGAGACCCTGTCCTAACCCTGCCCCACCGTCCCCAGCTTGTGTTGGGCCTGCACTCCCTCCTCTGGATTTGGGCACAGCCGTGGACTTGATCTGGCCTCGGGTGTGAGGGACACGTACCACTTTGGGGGATGCTTCTGGAGTCCGCGCGTGGTGCACCGTGCTGGTGTGGTGACCGGCAGGGCTGCAGACCGTGGCCTGTCCGGCAGCCTGGGCTCCCACTGTGTGCACCACAGGGACCAGAGCTCCGGCCCACCCACAGCGGGGTGGAAGCCACTGGCTATTTGGGAATGTTCCTTCCTGTGACGGACGCACCTGCTTTCTGGTTCCCACCGAGAAGACCGAGGAGTGAACAGAGAGCGCTACTCTGGCTCCTGAGGTCAGGAGCTGGTGCCCTGCCCAAGCCAGGCCAGAAACACCGGGAAACGACGGGTGTCTGCAGCAATGAGCCGCACACCCTCCCGCGAACGCAGAGTTCTCTCTCGAGCGCAGTGGGGCCGGAAATCCACCTCTGAGGAAAGCCCCACTGAGGGTGGCGGGACAGCGAGAAACAACACTGATGCTCTGCACCTGACTTGAGTCCAAGAGGCGGCAACTGCCGAGTGCAGAAGACATTGCCCAGTGAGGCTTCTAGAAGGCGGCCAAAAATGCGCTCGGAGGAAAGCTTACCATCTTAAAGGGCCTTGATATAATCAAGGGAGAATTAAAATAGGGGCGCCTGGGCAGCTCCGTCCGTTGAGTGTCCAACTCCTGATCTCAGCTCAGGTCTCGATCTCAGGGTCATGAGTTCAGGCCCCGTGTTGGGCTCCATGCAGGGCGTGAAGAGTCCTTAAAAAAAAGAACTAAAATAAAATGTGAATTAAACGTTCAATTCCAGACTGTAGAAAAGAAAAATAAGATAAAACCCAAGGAAGCGGGAGGAACATGTGAACAAAGATAAGAGGAGTGGCTGGTTTGGCCAACAGCAGACATCGGAACAGAGACACCAAGTCCACGAACGTCCCCTGGGAGGAATCTGGGGGCATGAGCTTTGGGAGTTGGGTGGCCATCAGGAAGACTCCCCCCTGTGCTGTCAGGGCAGCCCTGGGCTGGTGCCCCTCGGCCTGGCCTGTGCCTCACCCAGCAAGCCCCGCCCCACCCCACCGACAGCGACAGGCCCCGTGGTCTGCCGTTGCCTCTGAGGATGGCACCGGGATCACAGGCCTGGCCTCCCTTCCCCCCTCCCTGTCCCCCTTTACCTCCCCGCCCCTGCCCTGCCCTCCCCTCCATCCCCTGTCCCCTCTGCCCTCTCCCCCCACTCCCTTCCCTGCAGACCGTGTACTAGCCAGGAGCTCTCTGCTCTGGTCTCTGAGATGCCCTTGGGGGCAGACAGTGGGGCCCTGGTTTCTTGCCTCCTGCCCTTCCTACCAAGGGGAAGGATTCTGGACTGAGCCACAGGGAGCTGGGCTCCCAGGATGGTGCAGGGGGTCAAAGACTCTGGCTGCCAAAGGGATCGTTTCTCATGGCCCAAGCGATCTCGTGGCAATCTGGGAAGAGAGCCAGAGCCCCTGGTGCTGGAGTGCTTGAGCTTAAGGAGCCCCAGTGGGGCCTGCGGGCCGGGAAGGTGCCCTGTGCACCCCTGTCCAGGGCCGACGGGGGGGTGGTTCCGAGGCCAGGGGCCGGTGCCCAAGAGCACCCAGCTCAGCCATGCCAGGGTGTGTCCTGGGGAGCGGCCTGGGGACCCCCAGCATGCCTCTCCTCCCACCCAACCCCAAGAACTGAGCTTGCTCTGCCAAGTCCCCTTCCTCAAGAGAAAGCGGGGCCCTGTGAAGTGTTGTTGGGGTGACGCTGGCTGAGGGATCCTGTCTGTGCACGTGGCCCCTCTCCCAGCTGGACGGGTGGCCTCAGAGCGCCTTCTCCTTCATTCTGTCCAGCTCAAGGCTGTGAGCAGAAAGACAAGCAGCCGCTGGAGATGAAGCAGAGCTGTTTGATGAAAATAACAAGATGGGGGCGCCTGGGTGGCTCAGTCGGTTAAGCGACTGCCTTCGGCTCAGGTCATGATCCTGGAGTCCCGGGATCGAGTCCCGCATCGGGCTCCCTGCTCGGCAGGGAGTCTGCTTCTCCCTCTGACCCTCCTCCCTCTCATGCTCTCTGTCTCTCATTCTCTCTCGCGCAAATAAATAAATAAGATCTTTAAAAAAAAAAAAAAAGAAAAGAACAAGATGGCCCTGCAGCCCAGGCGGCCGCACCGCAGGGCTGAGCCTTGTGGCGGCGTCTGGGTTTTGTCTGCAGTGTGCTCCCCCAGAGAAACGTGAGCATGGCCGCAGCCCAACCCAGCAGCACATTCCACAAGCACAGCTCCTGGGCCCCAAATTCCGAAGGCCGTCCCTACTGGAAAGGGGGACACGACTGGGGCGTCCTCCATGGCCGTGCTGTCCAGCCGTGGCTAGGCGTGTTCAGGACGATGGTAGGGCATGCCAGTCCCGGCCTCGGGCAGTGCACACGTCCGCGCACGGAGCCCTCCCAACCCCGCCAAGGAGTGTGGAGGAGGAAATTGAGGCAGGGCACCCTGGGTCTCCTCACCCATGGAGCAGAGCCTGAGGCCCAAGATGGCCCCGCTGCCGCCTCCACCTCCCGGGGTCACCCTTCCCACATGGCTTGGAGCTTCTCTGAGGACACAGGCCCCAGGCCCACGCAGTGGAGGCCGGCCTGGCCCTTCCCAGGGCCTGCTGTCCCTGCAGGCCGGACTCTCTCTCCTGTGCCCCAGCCCCCCTCCTGCCCGGCTAGCCCCACCCCATCTTTTCCTCCCTGATGTCCCTGGGACTCCGTCCTGCCCTCACTGGTCCCCCTGCCCCCATCCCCACCCCACCCCAACCGCCTCTGCACCTGTCCTGGGACTGGAGGAAGTTTTCCTGAATCCCAGCCCTGCCTGGAGTGTCCAGAACCCATGCAGGCTACGTGTACTCCTCCCCTCCGACCTTCCCATCCCCACACCTGTCTCATCCCTGACACCTGTCCCATGCCCCATACCTGTTCCATCGTTCACACCTGTCTCATCCCTGACATCTGTCCCATCCCCACACCTGCCCCATCCCCCACACCTGCCCCATCTCCCACACCTGATTCATTCCTGACACCTGTCCCATCCCGCACACCTGTCCCATCCCCACCTGTCCCATCCCCACATCTGTCCCATCCCCACACCTGTCTCATCCCCCACACCTGTCCCATCCCCCACACCTGTCTCATTCCTGACACCTGTCCTATTCCCCACACCTGCCCCATTCCCCACACCTGTCTCATCCCCGACACCTGTCCCATCCCCCACACCTCTCTCTTCTCTGACACTGTTCCGTCCCCCAAACCTAGTCCCACACACCTGTCCTAGCCCCAGTGAACATGTCAGGTGCCTACCCTCGGTAGCTACCATCCAGGTGACAAAACCCTAATTGTCCGTGTCCCTGAGCCTTGGGGCAGGCGATGGAGTGGCAGGTACAGTCGGAGTGGAACTGCAGCCCCAAGAGCTACCGGGGAATGAGCTGGCCCTGTCCTCTGAGAAGGCACGAGTTTGTGTGCTGTCAGGGAGGCCCATGCACTGGACTCCACCCACAGCAGTGCTTCGGAGGAGGACCCTGGGGCCGGGATGAGGTCTGATGACCTCATGTGTGATGACCTGGGGTCTGGGAGACCCCCAGGCACTGTCCACGGGAGCCTTGGCCAGCTGGGCGGCACTGGCCCCGGGGAGCGCTGGGGCCCTCCCTCAGGAGTCTTGTCGACCCCAGCACGGTGGTCCCCATCTTGGCCTGTGTCCCCAAAGCTGTGGGCTGCGGGGTGGGAGGGCTCAGGGCGTCTGGGAGGAAGAAGGGTTGGTGATGGGGTTCTGTTAAAGTATTCTGCATTCCTGCACGTAGGAAGCTAAATTCCACGGATTTTTGTTTATGAGACGTTATCAATGATTTACATTTTTGTTCAGCTTTTTATTTACTAGGTGTTCAGCCGATATTTCTAAACCGCACCACGGTGCCGTGACAAGGGCCTGCATGTGTGTGCCTCTGTGCACGCGTGTGTGTTCAGACATGCCCGTCATGTGTGCACACCCACGTCCTGGCTGTGTGCGCGAGTGTGCGCCTCGTGTGTGAATGCACGTGTTTTCCAAACACGTTGCACTGCATTGTGTCGGGTGTTCACGCCTGCGCGCGTGCCTGTGTGCGCCTTGTGCGTACATGTACACACACGCATGTGTTCAAGCACGTGGGTTGTGTGTGCACACGAGTGTGCGAAAGGCAGCTCTCTTGTTCTTGGGCTCCTGCGCTCGATGTGTCCATCTGCGTCAGGGGCGATGCCCTGCGGAGTTCAGCCGTGCGGCAGCTTGGCGCTGGGGAAGCCATCTGCTCCGAGAGATGGCTCCCCAAGTTCTTCCTTTTCCCCATTTAGGGCCAGGTCCCAGCCTGGGGACAGAGCTGAGTGGCCTCCCCCTCCTGCCTGCTGGTGGGTCCTGGGTGCCTCTGACTGGCAGCCCAAGGTCAAGTCTCCTTAATTAGATGGTTTCCAGGAGCCATGTAACAAACATGCCTTCCGGAAGCAACAGGAGTAGCCCATCTCCCAGGAGGGAAGGGAAACAAGAAGCTGCTGGTGGCCACACCGGGACACCTGGAGGCCACCCATGTGCGGGTGGGGTGGGGGTGCTGAGCTTGGCAGCTGCTGTGCAGGAGACCAGCCTGCACGCTCAGGACTGTCTGGGCACCAAGGGCCTCCCTGTGGCCAGGCCTAGGAGCAGCTGGGGCCAGAGGGAGGAAGGGCAGGGTCATGAGATGACCCCTGGAAATAGACAGGTGCCAAGCTCTGCTTCTGGGGCCTGGAGCCTGGCCGGGGTAGGGACGGGGCCACAGGGGTGCCCAGGGGCCTGCAGGCAGGCTCTGGTGGACTTGGGGCTCCACTTGCCCAGAGTCTCAGCCTGTCTCAGGCACCTGCTCCCCAAACCGGCTCATTAGAGAGGACTCTGCCTCCATCGTCCCTCCAAGCCTAGGCCCTGGTGGGTGGGTGGGGGATGAGGTGGTCTTGCCCCTCAGAAATGGGTCTGTGGCCCCTCCCTGGACCTGGCCTCATTGCGGGGAAGGGCTGGTGGTCCCCCAGAGGAAGCTGATGTCCTGCAGGCAGCAGGAGCATCCTGGCCTGAGCCCTGAAAGGACTCACGTGGGATATATTTTGAAAACCATGAGGTTTCTCCTCAGTACTCAGCTCCGCAGGAGAGGTGAGGGAGGTCCGTGTCCGTGCAGCCCCGGGGGAGAAGTGAGGGAGGTCCGTTTGGCCCCGCGAGAGAGGTGAGCTTAGGACCCTTGCCTGTCCTGCCTGGCATCAGGTGCAGCTCTTCTTCTCGCACCGCAGAGGCGTGAAGGATGAGCCAGGGGGGCCCTGGGTAGGCTCTGCAAACGGTGGGTGTTCTGCACGCACACAGTCCCCAGGGGGGCATTGCTGAGGGGACCTCCTGGCGCAGCAGGGAGGGAAGGGGGAGGGGCTGCCCTGTCTGGGGCGGGGGTGCTGGGCATCAGCCTGTCTCCTCGCTGCCCCGGCCTCTGGGCTGAGTCCCGCACTCGTGGGGAAGGAGGAGAGGGTCAAGGCCCACCAGCTGCACACAGGCTGCCCGGCCCAGCCCAGAGGTCCTGATCCCCTGGGGCTTGAGTGGGGACGGAAATCCAGATCTGAACTGCTCTTCCCAGGTGATTCTTCTGTGCAGCAGGGCCAAGGTGCGGCGGAGGGAAAGGCCCCCAAGCTGTGCGCCCGGCAGAGGCTGGACTGTGGGCCCCGTGGGCAGTGGGGTCCACCCACCCCCAGCGTCAGATCCGAGGTTCCTTGTCCCTGGAGCTCCTCAGCCTGGCGCCCTTTGTGCCGAGGGGCGGAGCTTGCTGTGTAGCTTGGTGCCCGCAGGAGAAACACCTTTTATCTTCAGTGCATTTTGAGCTTTTTGGCAAGCCCCTTAGGTGCCGCGGCAGGCAGCCCCTGCAACCCCCTCGGCCCTGAGCTGGAGCCTCCCTGCGGGCCTGGGAATCGGGGGGCCATCTGCTCCCCAAGGGACAAGGCGGGCAGGGCATGGGCTGTGAGCAGTCCGTGGCAGAGCCCGTGGTGGATGATGGGACGGGAACCAGACAAAACCCCACAGGAGAGACCCCGGGCCCCCGGGACGGTGCTGCCTGGCCCGGCAGTCTCCCCCCGCTCAGCAGTTGCCTCTGGGAGGCCGCAGGCAGGCGCCCACAGGACTCTCCAGCAACCCTAATTCCCTGCCCAGGGCAGGAGACGTCAGGAAGTGGGCCCCTCCCTCTTGCCACACTCTGTCCCCAAGCCCCCCGGACGCAGGGCCTACCCTGAGGTCTGCAGGCCCTGGGAGCTGGGAAGGGAGGGGCAACCGGCTCTAGCGGGCAGCAGGGGCCTGGCCTCTCGGTGGGCACCTCCTGGCAAGCTGGAAGGGTCCTGGCATGCAGAGAGAGGCATGGCCCCAGGTGCTGGCACGGCCCTACTCCTCCACAGCCCCCAGAGATGGGCCCCGTGACCCGGGGCGGGGACTAACCTTGTCCCGATCTTTCAAGGCTCCTGGGTAGCCTGCTTGTGCTCTCAGGATGTGGGGGCCACCAGCCCCTCCTGCTGCCCCTGGCCTGGTTCCCGTCAGCCGCGGCTCAGCCTCCCTGGGGGGTGGGGTGCTCTGTGTTTGTCATGATGAGAATCAGGCCCCCTGAGTGTTTTTGCTCAGGCGAGCGGTCTGTGACTGTAACACATAGCATCCCCGGGGGCGTCAACAGGAAGGTGCTCTCCCAGGGCCGGGGGCCGCACGTCCGGGGTCCAAGTGTGTGCAGGGCTGGATCCTCCCGAGGCCTGTCTCCCGGGCGCGTGGACGCCGTGCTCTCCCCGTGTCCTCACACAGTCGCCCTCGGTGCGTGTCTGTGTCCTGATCTCCTCCTCTCCTGGGGACACGGGTCAGATTGCATGGGGGCCACCTCAGTGACCTCATTCTACCTTAATCCCCTCTGTGTAGACTCGTCTCTGTAGTCACATTGTGGGGTGCTGGGGTCAGGGCTTCAGCATACACTTTGAGGGGCACAGCTCAGCCCAGGACAGGGCATTAGCATCCTTGGGTCTAGGGTGCCCTGGCTGCTCACCCGTCTGGCTGCTGGCATCTCTGGGCTCCAGGGGTACTCGGGGGGTCGCACCTGTGTGGAGGCCGAGCCTCTGATCTGAAGATGGCCAGGCTGTGGGGCCATCGACTGTGGGGCCTGTCCTGGGCCGGATCCACATGGACCCTGCAGGCCTGTCACTGGGTCCCTGCGCCCTCCTGTCTGTGAGGAGAACCGTGTCCTCTGTAGGGCCAGCTCCGTCTGGGAGCCCTGCCCGCCCTGTGGGCCTCACAGCTGCCACGTCCTTGGGGCCCTCAGCCCGGGGCGGGGCCACGGCGTCCTGTCCCCTTCCCCGGGCGGCCCACCTGTAGGCTGTTGCCTCCCACCTGCTGCCCATTGCTGCTGGGCAGGAATCTGCACCTCTGATCGCCCCTGACTGCGTTTCAGAGCTTGGCCTTCGCTGCCGCCGAGCCCCTCCTCTGCTGGGGGCGCGGGGTGCCATCCCGCCTGGAGCTGAGGCGCCTCGCCCAGGCACAGCCCCCGTGTGAGGGAGGGCCTCAAAGGGACCCCTGCCGTCAGGCGAGATCCTGCCTCCCTCTGAGCGGCTGCCCTGCAGCAGCCCCGCACGGGGTCAGCCGTGAAATGAAAAGGGGCTTCTTTGGGCAAAGCAGTCTGGGAGACGCAGCGTTAGGCAGGGTTGCAGATTGGCTTGCAGCAGGACTTACCAGAGCCTCTAATGGGCTGTGTGACCTCTGACGCTGCAGAGGGTCCCAAACCAGTCAGTGTTCCGATTTTCATGGAGAGTCTCATTCGGGGCTCACCTCTCACCTGCAGGAGGGCCTTTGCCCCCTGGGGAAGCGGCCAGCCCGCGCTCGGGCCGCGTCCTAGAGGCTCTCCCGGGTCACTCACTGGCTCTGATTTATCTTCCCACCGGTGAGGATGCTGTTCACTCTCCCTTTCACTCTGAAAACCTCAAATGCCTTTTTTCTTTTAAAAAGTCAGATTTCACCCAGTTTCCTTACTGGTCGGATCGTGGGCGTGTCCCGAGCTGGGCTGGTGGAGTCCGTGTGGGTGTAGACCACTGTGCGTGGGCCTCGCGTGCTGGGGTTCCGTGTGGGCCCTTTGCAGGCCGGTGGGCGGGGGGGTCTCCGGACGTTGGCCAGCGCCAGCTTCAGGGCTGGGCTGTGCTCAGGGCGCTGTGAGCGCCAGGCTGCTCGGTGGAGACCTCACCCTGCTGTGGGTACGGGAGCCGTGTCCCCGCGGGCAGGAGGTGGGCCAGGCTTGTCTCCCTTCGCCGGAAGCTGCAGATGGCAGGAGGTAAAAAGGCAGAATGGGACAGTCCGGGCACTCGGGGTCCCCGGCGACCTCACTTTCAAGACTCCCCTGCCCTGTGGGTGGCGGGGGAGGCCCAGGCTTTCCAGGGAGGGCAAGGGCCAGGACAGCGCCCGGGGGGGGGCCAGGTGCCCCGTGGCACCTGCAGCGGTTTCCAGGCACCCACGGGCCTGTGGGCCCCCACCTCTGCCACTCCGTGCGGTCCCGCCGGGCAGAGTCCAGACCCCGCTGCCCGCCCCCCCGAGGTCTCCACGGGGAGCGAGTAGGGCTAGTAGCGGTCTACACGGCCACCCAGCGTCCCTCCTCCTGGGCACGCGGACGGGCTGCATCTGCTGCCAGGGTGCGGCCGGGGGCCTGGCTTGGCTGCTGAGATGGGGAGCGAGTGTGTCACCCTGGGCAGAGCGCTGGGAGCCCCGGTGACAGTGAAGGGCCCCCAGCTTCTGTCTCCCGTTGCCCCGTGTGCGGCAGGCCTGCTCTGCCCCCGGTCCTGGGCGACGCCCCCGCCAGCCAGCAGGCAGGGGTGCGTGGAGAGGGGCCGCTGGCAGACCGGGGACTGCCCGTTAGCGGCCCGGCCCAGAGCCACCTGTGCTTTCCACCCGCAGGAGTCGGGCCACGTCTGCCTCGTGGTTCTGAGGGTTTGAGAGCACCCGGCCGGACTTGCACCTGCTGTCCTCGCTCCACACCTCTTGGCTAGTGGGTCCGTGGTGCCAAGTGTTTTCCAGGCCGGGATCATCTCTGGTTCCGCCGTGATGTTTGCAGACTCCACAGCACCGAGCAGGTCTGTGTTTTCCAGGTATTTCGCCCCCCCAGCGGCCCCAGCTGCTTCCTTGCGATGCCACAGAGAAAGCAGGAGCTGTGTCCGTCCTGCTCACCCATGCCGGTCCCGCAGACGTGGGGGGGCAGGCCCGCGTGTGGCTCCAGGCCAGTGTGGCATGGCCACCTCGACGCCACAGGCCCCGAACCCGGGAACGCGTGCCCATCCTTCTCCCGAGCTCTCCCTGAGCTCTGGTTTAGCCTCCTCAACGCTGCCCGCCACGTGGCTGCCCGCTGCATGGTCAGGTCGAGCTGGTGGCCGGCAGGCTGGACGGCCCGTTCGGGCCCAGCCCCTGCCTCCCTCTCCGTCCGGGTGTCCCCACGTGGGGACCACCTGTTCCCGCTGGCTGATGCCCCGGCCCCGAGACCCAGCTGCTCGGCCCTGCAGATGCTCCCCTCCTGAGATTCTTCTGAGTGTGTGGTTCTCCAGACGTAAAGCAATACTTAGGCTCCACTGGCATGAGGTGTCCGCAGACGGGCTAATGGTGACCTTACAGCTTTCTTCAGGAAAGACCTGGATATCAATTCCACGCGCAAATAAAGGGTTCATTCCCGTGATCTTCCCCAAAGAGACTTCCTGTCCTGATAACTTCACTCTGCCAAAAACCCCAGCAAAAACAAAACAAAGCCAAACGACCTTAGGAAAATAGACACTGAGGGACACCCTTCAGGACCGTAGGAAAATCCGCCCAGACTCTTAGCCGCCGTGGGTCCAACAGCAGCGCAGCTACACATCCCGTCCAGGCCAGACCCCAGCCCGGGCGCCGGTGGTGCCCCGTGCTTGCCAAGGTGGGGCAACTGAAGGGCTAGGAGCCCCCAGGGAAGATGAGGCACGGGGAAGGTGTCTTACTGCAGAAGTTGAAGAAGCCCCTCTCTTTCATATATAACAGTGTCATCCATTTAGAAAATACAAACATCGGGGTATTAGTTTGAAAAATGCCCCCCCCAGATGTGTTCACATCCTAATTTATGAAATCTGAATATCACCCTGCGTGGCAGAAGTTGTGATGTAAGCGAGGATTTTAGGGGGAGGAGGTGGTCCTGCTTGTCCGGCTGGGCCGCAGGGCACTCACAGGTGTCCTTGTAAGAGAGAGACAGGGACATCTGGGTGGCGCATGGAGGGGACGCGTGAGGGACAGCCCTCAGCCTGGTGCCCCCCCGTGCCTCACGTGGGGAGGGCGCGCCCCGTCAGGAACGCGGGGAGGGCATTCCAGGCTCACCTGCTGGATGGCAGGAGTTTCCACCTGAACCCCTCTCCCGGGAGCTCTTTGCTCAGGTGATCCCAGGTGGAAGGGGGGCACGAGCTCGGGAACAGGGAATCAGAGAGGAGCTTCTGCGGAGGAGGGGGGCTCAGCGCCTCACCTCCCGCCTGCGCCTGATTTCCTGCAATGGAGAAGAGCCGCGGATGAGCACTGTGGTCAGCAGATGGCCCCGGGCGGCAGCCAGTGCGGCTGCCGTGTGCTGGGGGACTGTGGCCCTGTCCCCCTTTCCTTCCAAGGTGCTGGAGGCCTCCGTTTCCAGTGTGGCCACCTCGAGGGTGAAGGGGAGCCTCCAGTGACCGTGCCCACTGAACGTCCTTGTCCAGGTGTGTTCAGGAGCTCCTGGGGTGGCCGCCCCCCTGCCTTCTCCCCGCAGACCCTCTGGCCGGAGAGCCCTGGGCTTAGCAGCGCATCAGCTCCCTCCTGGGTATTTACCTGGGCGAACTGGAAGCTTATGTTCACGGCCACTTTCCGTGGTCGCCAAAACCTGGAAAGAACTGCGATCCTTTGAAAGGTGAGCCGACAAGCCGACCTGCACACCCACAGCACGGAGTCAGATGGGGACGGACGGGAGTGAGCTGTTACTCGCAAGCACAGATGGGTCTACACTGCACTGTCAAACCTGACCCAACAGGCTAGATACCGTATGATCCCGGTTGTGGGACATTCCGGAAAAGGCAAAACTCCGGTGATGGTGAGTAGATGGAAATCGCTTCTGTTGGTCGGTGCTCTGGCTCAGCCTGGACTCCTGTGTGAGCCGAAGCCCAGAGCCGCCAAGTTCTCCGGACCCGGGCACGTCAGTGACTGCAGCCCGGGCCCGGGGTCTCCTCCCCACACGCCGTCCCCCCTTGTCCTGGCGCTCGTGCGGGAATGGCCCTGACGTCACCGTCACGCCCCATTGTGCTTGTAGAGAACGCCCATCATCCTGAGCTGGCCTGAGGAGTGGGGGGCAGCACGACCTCGGGGCCTTGGCCGGCCATTTTCATGGTGTCCCTGTTGTTTCTCAGCATTGGTGGCTCTGCCCGGGGTGACTCACCTGTGGAGGTGACGGTGGGGAGTGAGGGTGGTCGGAGACAGTGTCAGGGAGAGCAGGTGAGGGAGTGCCCAGGAGCTGGACGAGCCGCTGAGATTGTCCCGTGCACATGGCCCAACTGGAGGCCAGTCTGGGGCCGGTTCATGGCTTGCCCGAGTTCCCACGGGGTGCTGTCCTGCCCCTGCCCTACGGTATCTGCAGAAGGTGGCCCCAGACACGGCCAAGGGAAAGCAGGGGTCGAGTTGACCCGTCTCCTACAAGTGGGGGTCCAAGGAGGGCTGGCCTCGTGCAGGTCAGCCTCCGAGCTGAGCCAGATGCAGCCCGAGCGAGGGGCAGCCGATCTGGGCAGGTGCTGAGCTGGCGGGTCAGCCGTGTCTCAGCGATCTTGGCGAGCTGAGCACAGAAGCTGCACACGTGGGCACCCGGGAGATGTCGCTGCACAGGAACGAAAGCAGGAATCACACCCATCTGTTTGGCACGCGTTCCCTGGGTGTCTGTGAACCCTGGTGGGGCTCTGGACAGACACACAGACCGCAGCCTGGCCAGGCGTGTCCTGGGAGGGAGTCGCAGGGCTGTCCATTATTTCCAATGAACCGAAGTCCTCGTGGGTCCCCCTGGCCACACGCACGCTGGGGTTGGTTCAGTGCATCGAGAGCGGTGCGGCCCTACTCTTCAAGAGCCAGCAAGGGGATTTTTGAAAATGCAGGATTCTGCAGCGTCCTGCTGTCCCATTTCCCGGGAGTGGGAGCTGGGGCTCGGATCCCAGGCTGTCTCTGGCCAGCAGTGAGGGCCTGGCCGAGCTCCCTCCCCCCGCCTACCCCTGTTTCCTCCCAGGAAGGTGAGAGGCTCTGCATCCCCGGATCTGGTACCCTGGAGCCTCCTGCACCAGGCCCCTCCACAGGCACCGGGCATGGTCGCCAAGGGCAGGGCGATAGCAGGGGCACACCTCCCCAACCCCGAGGGCTGGCTTCTAGAATGTCCCGCAGAGACACACTCCCCGATCCCTCCGCACCACAAACACAACGCCCTTAGTGTTATGGCAGGTGTGAGCAGATCAGGCTTCGCAGGGAGGGGACTGCCAGCCGGCCAAGGCTGAGAACCGCTGAGGCCAGAGGCCAGGGCGCTCCTGGCACAGGGTGTCCGGGGTCAGGGCGGGGCCGGGCTGCTCCTGGAGAGCCGCGGCAGGGGAGAGTGGCGTGGCAGGTGCCCAGTGCCCTGGGCGGCCCTGCTGTGCTGTGTCTCCCCTGGGCATGCAGGTGGTGGACCCCGACGGCGGGCATGGTGCCTGTCCCCTGGGGCCGCGAGCACAGTCGGCGTGGGCTGGCCTGTCCTACCTCTTACAGAAATCCTCTTCCAGAACTTCTGAACATTGAGATTCAATTCACAGTTCTTGAAATTCGCCGTTTTAAATTGTAACTCGGCCCCACTTAGTCTGTGGATGCTCATGCCACGGTCTCCTCCATCTGGGTCCAGAAGGTTCTCACCACCCCGAACAGAAGCCCTGCCCCCACCCACGCTCACTGGTCCCGTCTTCCACGCGGCTCCTCCCTGTCTCCGTGCATCTCACCCGGTGGAGATCCCAGCGGAGATCCCAGCGGGGCCGCGTGCACAGTCGTGCGTCCGCCACGCGCCCCCCCCCTCCCCCCCCGGGCTCGCTGCCTCTGCACGGGATTCAAGGGACCCGCCGGGCTCTTTTCTCTTCCGCCTGGAGGACGGGCAGGCTGCTCGTGACGGATGTGCTAGATTGGGTTTATTTTTGTTATGTCTTTATTTACATTTGATTGTTTTGTTATTTATTTTGTTTGTGTGTCTTAATTTCACCTCATCTTTGAGGGACGGCCTCCGTGTGCACAGTCCTTGGCTGGCGGTCTTTGAGGACGGTCTCCGGGGCTCCTGGGGAGGGGGGCCTTCTCTCTCCTTGTGTTCCGCTCCTCACGCTTCGATCATGCTTTGATCACGGTTCGATCACGGTGCGTCCAGGTGCACCTGTGTCCCCGGTTTTCCTCCTTGGGGTTGGTGAGCTTCTACAACGTGTAAAGGAATGGTTGTCATCTCACTTGGTACGTTTGGGACCTTTCTGTGCTTTCCCTGTTGGTGGGACTCCAGCGTGTGTGCGCTTGGCTGTGGGTGCCTCGGTCTTCTGCTCCCTGACCTTCCCTGACCTTCCCCGCCCACAGCTGCCCTGGTGGCCTCTGCACAGTTCCTGTGCTTCCAGAATCTCCTCGTTCTTCTTCCATCTCTGCTGATCCTATTTGCTGACACACTGTTCTTAGGCTTCCTTTTAGTTCTTCAGACAGGGTTTCCTTGAAGTCCCGGTGTGGAGGGCGGGCTGGCGTCTGTGTTTCTTTGCATGTCTCTATCGTTTTAAAACTGGATAATTAAAATAATACAATGTGGCAGCGAGGAAATCAGACACCCCCCCCCCCCGCCCCGTCTCTGTGGTTTTGTTGTTTGTACAGTGATTTCATGAATGGATTCTGTGAAGTTTGTCTTTCTTTCTTCAGCTAGCCCAGTGGTCAGCCAAGGCTCGGAAGGAGATCTTCCTAAATTCTGGGAGCCAGTACGTGCCCCAGGCTTTGCTGCGGGGCCCTGTGTGTGCATGCGACCCCCAGCCAGGCGGTGGGGCCGCCCGCTCCGCCAGAGACCCACGTGCAGGGTCTCCCCAGGCCTGTCTGGAGCCTGTGCACAGCCCTGGTGTGTGCACGGCCTTCCAGGGGCTGAGGAATGTGTAGGAGCCTTCCCGATCTCCCCATGCACATCTCCCTCCCCAGCGTTTCCTTTTAAGCTCGTTGGTTGGTCTATTTTTGCCCCGGCTGCTATCCACTGCCTCAGGCAGCTGCATGTTAGACAACTGCCTCCGATTCTTCTTTCTTTAGATGAAGTCCCTTGGAGAAACGGCGGTTCCTACCAGGTGAGCCCCAGGTCGCGTCTCGTGAAGACAGCTCAGCAAGAGGGTCTGCCGGGAACCACCAGGCCCTTGTCTGGGAGTGGGCTTCGCGGGCCCAGCTCCGTTCTGCCCCCTCCCGTGGCTGCCAGGTGCTGGTTCTCAGGGTTACCATGGAGATGGGGGGGCAGGTGGAGATACCCCACGCTCACTGTTCCTACCAACACCCGGGTGCTATTCCCGAATACACGTTCCTCGTGGCAAGTCTGGGGGTCGTTTCCGGAGGTCTGAAAAAGTTGCTTCTGACCGGTTTTGCTGGTGCTCTCCTTGCTTTAACGGAGACGAGGCTGTTCAGATGGCCTGATTCTGCCATTTTATCGATGTCATTTTTCAGAATTTTAAAAACAGCCTCACCAAGTTGACATACAGTGCACCACACACATCCGAAGCGCGCGGCTTGACACGGTCTGACGTCTGCGTACCCCCAGCGAACCCACCCACTGTGCCCCGGCCCCCCCGCCGTGCCCACCCGTGAGCCCTCCCTCCTGCCCCTCTGCACGGACCGCCATCTCTAGGCAACGGCTGCCCTGCTTTCTGTCCCTGTAGATCAGCCGGCGTTTCTCCGGTCTTACATAAGTGGGATCATTCTGTCACACAGCATCATTATTTTGAGATTCATCTATGTCGCTGTGCGAACCGGTGTTTCGTTCCCGTTTACCGCTGAACACAGTTCCCTTGTAGGGACACGCGCGGCTGGCCTAGCCGTTGCCTGTCGACGCACATGTGCGTTGCCTCTCGTTGCTGGCTATTAAGAATGACCCTTCCTCGGACCCTGATGCACAGGTCTTTGTGTGCGTGTGTGCTTTCCTCTCTCCTGGACAGTCACATGCTGGACCAGATGGAGGGGCTATGAGTGACTTTATAAGAAACTGTCCAGTCATTTTTGAGGATGGTTGTACCCCTTTCCATCCCCACCAGCAGTGTATGAATTGCTGTACATCCTCACCAACACTTGCTATTATCAGGCCTTTTATTTCTGGCCTTTCTGTCGGTGGATAGGTTGTCTCATTGCGGTTTTAATTTCCCTAACGACTACTGGTGTTGAGCCTTGTTCTGTGTTCTCATTTACTCGCTGTAAATCGTCTTTGGTGAATTGTCTGTTCAGATCCTTTACCCATTTTCGAAGGGGCTGATTTCTTATTACTGAGTTTTGAGAGCTCTTTCTATATTCTGGCTATGACTCTTACCAGATGTGTAGATTGCAGATATTTTCTCCCCGTCTGTGGCTGGTCTTTTAATTCTCTTCACAGTGTCTTTTAAAAAGCAGGTATTTTAAATTTTGATGAAATCCGGTTTATGGATTTGTTCTTTCATGGATCGTACTTTGGGTTTTGACTCTAAGAAATCCTTGCCTGACCCAAAGTTGCAAAGGTTTTCTTCTCTGTCTTCATGTGGGAGTTTTAAGTCTAGGTTTTACGTGTGGATGTGTGACGTGGATCTCACTCCCCGGCGTTCCCTTGTGAGCTTGTTTGTGAGTCCGTGGTACAGGGTGTGTGGAGAGTGTCCATTTCCCCCATACAGGGCTAGCCAACTTCCGACACTATTTGTTAAAAAGACTCCTTTCTCCACTGGACTGACTTGCATTTTTGTCAAAACTCCACTGTCCGCATGTGCGTGGGTCTATCCTGGACGTTAGGTCAACTCCCCATCCTGCTCCTGATCTGAGGGGAAAGCGTTTGGTCTCACCCTTATGAACAGTGTCGGCCATGGGTTTTTGTAGGCGCCCTTGGTCAAGTGGAGGAGGTTCCCTTCTATTTTGGTTTGCCCTGTTCTTATCAGAATGGATGTTGGATTTTTCAGGTGTTGGTTGTGTATAGAGATAATTCTATTGTTTTACTTTGTTAGCCTGGTGAATTACATTGATTGAATTTTGAATGTAAACCAACCTCGGATTCTTGGGCTGAACCCACTTGGTTCTGGTGTATTACTTTTTAAAATTTATTGTTGGATTCAGTTTAACAAATGTTTAAAGAACTTTTTGTCTGTGTTCATGAAAGATGTTGTATTCTTTTTCTTGCGCTATCTTGGCTGATTCTCCGTCAGGATAATGCCGGCCTCACGGAATGGCTTGGGAATAATTCCTTCCTTCTCAATTTTATGGCACAGCTTATGTGGAATTGCTGTCCGTTCTTCCTTACCTGTGAGACAGAATTCCCCCACTGAAGCCGCCCGGGGCCGAGTTTTCTTTGTGGGAAGGTTTTTAACTACGGACTCAGTTTGCTTATCAGTCCTGTGCTGCGTATTTGGGGCAACTGTGCGTCTCCCTGCGGCTTCTCCCCTCAGGTGCTCGCCCTGCAAACCACGGCTGCCTCGGTCTCCATGGATGCTCACACCCTCCGCTCAGGATGTCCCTGGGGCCCCCGTGTGGCTGGGCACCTGGAAACTCCCTCCAGGCCTCCAGCTGGGCACTCAGCTGGCCCACTCGCTCTGTGTCCCTTTCCGTGGGCACCGTGGCTCGTCCGTCACCTCATGTCCAGCACCTTGAAAACCCCAGCTTCATATGTTTTGTCTGTAGTTTCGTTGTTTCTGGCGGGAAAAGTAAATCCAGGCCCTGTAGTCCATCTTGGCTGGAAGTGGAAGTCTGCCATATGGGTTTTTTGCTGGAAAGTAATACCTGTTTGTTGGAGCAAATCTAGAAGATGCCCCTTCCATTGTGTGTAAAAGAATGTCGTGGCATGGCATTTCCTTAAAGCAGATCTCAAAATGGAATTTCTGGGTCAAAGTGTGTGAACACTGCAGGCTCAGACATTCGGCCAAATCTCTGTCTGGGAGGTGGTCACGTTTACCATGTGAGCAGCAGACAACAGAGCTTCGCTCAGTGCCAGAGGGCGGGTGGTCTTTCCTGCTGTTTGTGCCTCGTCAGGCCCCATAGATGGCACTCCCAGGCGTTGTCTGGCTCTGCCCGCCGGCGCCCACAGCCCGTGGGCAACCCGCTAACTCGTCACCCCCTTCCTAGTCCAGGCTTCCACTGGAAACCACACCCCCTCCCTCGGACGCAGGTCCCTCCTGGCCGGCCCCTCCTGTGTCCCCAGCTGCAGGGCAGGACCTCGGCGGAGGCGACCGGGTGCTGAGAGGTGGTCCCGGGGCACACCCGCAGCCTGACCTGGGTCTGGTCAGGGAGGACCCGTCCCTGTCTCCCCCAGAGGGGATACTTTGTCCGCAGCTCCATCCCTGAGCCTGGGCGCCGACAGAGCACCCAAACCATGAGCCCTGGGCTACTCTGCAGGCTGCACCCTGCGTGGACATTGAGGACGGGGAGAGGCCCCGGGGACCCCAGACCCAAAGGGACCTGTGCCTATACGTCTGTGAAAGCTGGGCCCGCGGCTTCTACTCTGATTTCTGCACCCACGGCTCGTGGGACACTGGTGGATGGAGACGGCAGTGCGGGCCGGACGCTGTCGGCTGCCCCGGGATGTGGGAGATCCAGGGAGAAGTCTCAGCAACATGGCAACAACAGAACAGCTCTGTGTCGTGGGGTCTGCGCGGTGCCTCACGTGTCTGGCCCACGGGACACGACGCTCTGTCGGCTCTGTGTGGACGGCTTATTTTCAGGGCTGTACCCTTAGGTGCACAAGGCACTGGGCTCCGGCGGCCGAGATGGGGCCGACTGCGCCCAGGGCTCTGCGTTGTCCCTCGAGGACAGGCTCCCTGCGTGGCCAGGGCCTGGGAGAGCGTGGCGCACGCCGGCCCCCGTCCCTGAGTCACCTTGGCCGTCCCCTGCCCCTCCCAGTTGTGCCTCGCCGTGGGCAGCTCGGGTCCAGGCCAGGGGGCCCCTCCCTGCAGGCTGCAGCGGGACTGACAGCCACCCGCGGGGCGCAGCGCGCCCTTGTTCTCCGGCTGCGCAAACAGGCAGCTGAGGGGCAAGCGGGAGGGAGCCTCCAGACTCCCGAAATGCAGGACGCCAGCAGTGTGCGGGAGAACTCGCACCTGGGCACTCGGAGCACCTCTGGAGACCCGGCTCTGCCCATCGGTCCTTGCTCTCTCAGGCCATCCCCTCCTGCCGCCAGCACTGAGCGGCCGGGTCCTGTGCCCCGCTGTCCCCTGAGGGGGACTCTGAGCCCCTGTGCTAATGGGGGAGCCCGGTGATGAACAGAGAAACAAACCAAGGCACACAGACCTGCGGGAGTGAAGGAAACAGAAGCGGGGGCAGGGTATAGAGGGCTGGCAGGAGCTGAGAGCAGAGCGCTGGCTGGGGAGGAGCCCATCAGCGCTCTGGGAGGAGAATGTTCCGGACTGAGGGGCCCCAGCTGTGCGGGGGGGTTGTGGGTGTGGCCAGAGGCTGCACTGAGGGGCTGAGTGGGGGGGAGAGGGCCACGTGGGGTCCCTGGGCCAGGTTGTAGGTTTGGGCTGGCATCTGAGCGCCACAGAAGCCCCTGGAAAGTTCTAGAAGGAGGGGCAGGTCGGACCCTGCATAATAGTATATATGCATTAGCTATCCGTATTTCCAGTACGTGGAAAGGGAGGGAGAGGCTGAGGGCCCCTCAGCTCACCCTCAGTCACACGGAGCCTCGGTGGGGTCTGAAAGGCCCACAGATATGCTCGTTTTAGCCTTTCACGATTTTTCCCGACTTCTTGCAAAAGTGGTCTAAGATCCTCAGACCAGAGCTTCCCCTGGCCTTAAGGGTGGGCTCCGATTAGCACAGAGCCGTGTAGCCGGTGAGCCCCCCGTGGGCGGCAGAGGGAGGGGAAGACCCCCCGCCCCTGCCTGGCACCCCTGAGCTTCCTGGTTCTGACCGGTCTGGCTGTGGGCACCCCCGGCCAGGAGAGCCTCTGTTCTTGGCACCTGGAAGGAAAAACACAGGGCAGACAGGGGAGGGGGTCGCTGTCCTGTGTGTGGGGTCACAGCCCAGCCTGCCTTTCCCCATTAACCCCTGACCTCGATTTGCAGCCCTGGGGGAGGGTCCCCTGTGGACGCAGCCGGGCAGCCTGGGGTGGAACGCACACGCATGGAGGCCAGGTGTGGACAGGGGCCGGAATCGAGGTCCAGGGGGTGGCGGGGGCCGCGCTCTGTGTCTGGATCTGGGTGCCGGGTAAACAGTGTGTTCCGTTTGTGGAAACTCCCCAGGAGTCCACTTAGGGTTCCTGAGGCCGGAAGCAGGTTGGACCCCCTGCAAGGGGGCCCCGGCACAAGTGAACACGCCTTTTCTCTGCCTTTTGTGGGCGGGCTGCACGGACGCAACAAACCCCCAGCCCCCTCCGCGAGAGGCCGAGAGGCCTGGCGTCTGGGGAATCCCACGCAGACGTGGTGGCCGTCGCCATGAGCCCCAGCTCTGGCGGAGAAGCCCTGTGCCCCCCAGGCTGTGCAGGAGGCGGTGCGCGGCCGTGGACGCGCCGTGCTCGCAGGGTGCTGTGGACGGTACATGTGCTTGGTCAAATTAAGTATTTCTATCCATTTGCTTGATGGATGTTTGATCAGAGGAATTTAAACCTTAACTGTAAGCAGTGGGTCTGCTTTAAAGTGAATTATTCATCAGGAAACAGGCAAAACATCCCAAGAGATCAATACTTGGCTTCTGAGTTTTTATTTTTCTAAAAGGATCGCTAAATGCTGCAGGCGGGAGCAGCTCTGGTCCAGGCCAGGGGGCCCTCCCTGCAGGCCTGGGAGGGGCGTGGCACCACACAAGTGTTCTCGGGGAGCAGGAGTCCACAGCCAGCCAGGTTTTGGGGTGACTGCCCCTTGAACTGTGGGGCCCTGGGTAGAGGCGGTGTGTCCCCTTGGGCACGTTTCTGGTGACCCACGAGCGGACCTTTCACTGCCAGGCCCCGTCAGGGTCCGGGATGGCTGGGCCCTGCTGACACATCTCAGCAGTGGAGGGATGACTGGGGGGGGGGTGTAAGGAGAGCCCCCCACACCCCAGGTGCCGGTGGGACAGACGGCCAGGCCGGGTGACTCAGGGACACCCCAGGTTCCGGTGGGACGGAGGGCCAGGCCGGGTGACTCAGGGAGGGGAGCCCCCCACATCCCAGGTTCTGGTGGGACGGAGGGCCAGGCCGGGTGACTCAGGGAGGGGAGCCCCCCACACCCCAGGTTCCGGTGGGATGGAGGGCCAGGCCGGGTGACTCAGGGAGGGGAGCCCCCCACACCCCAGGTGCCGGCGGGACGGAGGGCCAGGCTGGGTGACTCAGGGAGGCCATGGGAGGGCCTGGGTGTGAGGCCCTGGGTGCAGCCCTGGTGGAGGTGGGCACCTTTGTGAAGATAGGATCCTGGGCTTAGCGGGAGCTCTGGGAGGATGCACAGTCAGTGGGGAGCCCCCCAGGCCTGCAGCCCACAAACCACCAGGCTCAGCAGGGGGATACCCCGCTCCCACTGCTCTGTTGGAGCTGCTGGGGTGGGGGCTGGAATTCCCTCCGATGTGTTATTAATAGTGTTGTTTCCCCCTTATTCCTGAGTTCATGGGTGTTTCTTTTAGAAGCTTGAGAAAGTGCAGATCGGTGAAAGGAAGACAGTAAAACTCACTGGTATTCCAACCACTCAGATAAAGTGACTGTCGGTATTTACTTTATTGCATGGCATTTCAGATATGTATGGGACTGTACTATTTCTGTCCCTTTGCACTCTTTTTTCACTCTGTGATGTGAGTATCTGCGTGAGCTACTCCCAGTCTCGCCATTTCAACTGGACTCTCTGTGCTTCCTTGGGCTCCGATGCCTTCCGGGTCACTTGGTCGTTTCTCGATTGTCACCCTGAACGACACAGTGATGGACACCTGTGGTGACCTCATGCTCTTACCTGCCCAACGTCTAACGGGGGACCCTCGCTCTCGTGGCTGGGTGGGGCTGACCCCGCTCCCGGCTCCGGCTTGGCCGCTCAGAGCCAGGCGTCCTCCCGCAGATGGACTGCACCAGGGGCGGTCCTGTGGCCTGAGCCGAGCCATCAGAACCATCCCAGGGAAAGGGGTGTCCTCCTCCGTTCCTGGGGCTCGCCAGCCACGGGTCACCTCCGGCCACCACATAAAGAAACAGAGCGTGGGCTTGAGAGGGACAGTGGCCTGGTGACTGGCCTGGACTCCTGGCTTAGCAGGGCCCACACCAGAGTCCCTTTCCGTGTGTGGCGCTTGTTTGCTTGTTTGCTTGTCTGATGTGCGGGACACACAGCCAGAGAAGGGCCCCGGTTTGGGATCAGGAACAGAGAAGGCGGTGGGAGCAAGCTGCTGCCCAGGGCAGCGCCCGAGGGTAGGGGCGGCGTGGCGCGGTGTGGGCAGAGTGTGTCAGGGGCTAACCCCAGCTGCAGGGTCGTCTTGCCCACTTGCCAGAGCCTTCCAGCTGTTGGCCCCAGTTCAGCACCTGTGGTTGCAGAGAGAGAAGGAGCCACAGCTGTCGGGGAGAAGCCCCTCCAGCCGGGATGGGAGATGCTCGTCCCCAGACTAAGGCCGGGGGGCAGAGCCCAAGCCCAGACAGACACTGGGTGGAGGCTGGCCTGCTCCCGAGCTCTTACTGTTGACGCAGGTATGGCGGTGAGAAACAAGCAGGCACTTCTTCACATGGGGGGAGGGTGGTGAAGGGCACCACGTGGGGTGAGCTGCGTGAGCGCGCTTCGCATGGGCGCCCTGTCTGAGGCTGAGCGGGCCGAGGAGGGGCGGCAGCATCCAGGAGGGGCGGACAGGGGCTAGGGGCCCACCAGCCGGGGCTGTGGACACTGAGGGACCACGCTAGGTGGTTTTCACAAAATAAAAAGTAAGGAAGGAAAAGCCAGGGGAGACCCACCCCCTCAGAAGCCAGCGGGCGTTGCACTCAGCCCAAGACCTGCCCGAGGGTCCCCGGGGCCCAGGTGAGCCCCTGGGGCATGTGTCCTGTCCTGTGCTGGCTGCTCAGACCGGCCTGTCCGCAAACTCTCGGCCCCCAGATGAGCGCTGGGGACTGGAGACAGCGGGAGCCCGGGGAGCAGGAGGCCCGGTCCTCCCTGCAAGTTGCATCTGGATGGGGGAGGCGGGAGCACCCCACCCCGAGGGTCTGCACCGTCCCAAGCGGGCACAGTGGTGCCAAAGTCAGCGGCCGGCCTGGGAAGGCAGAGTGGTCCTTATCTGCTTCCTCGAGGCTCGCTGCGCCTGGCTGGCTGGAAACGCTCAGCCCCGCCCGCCATCGTCGGTTCCCAGACATGCTCGGGGCCCCTGAGCTCCTGGCATCCGGCGTCCTGGCTGGGAAGCTGCCCGTCGCCGGCTCCCACGCGCCTGGCTCGCTGCTGCTGGGGCTCGGCTGTACGTGGGTCGCTGCTCTGTTTTTGTGGGCAGCACATCCAGGGGGCGGTTCCCGCCCTGCCCCGGGCTGTCGAGGTCACCCCACATCCCTCTGTCCTCCCCCGCCTCCCTCCACCACGCGAGGACCCCGCGGTTGCTTTGGGACCGACCTGGAAGTCCGGGAGAACCTCCATCTGTAAGTGCGTGGAAGTGCATGGGCATCTTTGGGACCGCCACCATCGGGGCTCCCTCACGTGTCCCCAGTACCGCGTCGGGACTGTGGACCTGGCAGAGGGCCCTGGCCGTCGGAAGAGAGCCCAGCGTGGTGGGCGGGGGAGGGGCATTAACAAGGACCCGGAGGCTACACCTGCTCCTGGGGGGAGATGCTCACCCCCCGGGGATCCCCTGGAGGCTTGTCAACGATGCAGGTGAGTCTTCATGTCAGGCAGCTGGCGGCGTGGAGCCGAGGGTCTCTGGGGGACGGGCCAGTTCTGCCGCGGTGGCCCGGATGCAGTGTTTCTCACCAGCTCCGGGTGATGCCTGCCACGCTGTCCGGAAGCCTCACTGTGAGTACGGAATCGGTGGAGGTCGGGAAGCTAGCCAGGTGCGGCCAGAAAGTCGGCAGGTCCAGAGCACACCAGAGACTTGGCTTCAGCCGGACGGCGCAGCTCAGCGAGGACAAGTGGATGGACTTAGGGACCTGAGGACGCGCCGAGCCCCCACACCTGACGCCCGTAGCTCAGCCCTGGCGCCTCTCCCAGAGGTGGGGCGAGGCCGCCCTCTTGGGTGCTGCAGTTGGCAGTCGCTGGGCCTTAGAAACCACCTGACAGAGACATCGATCGCTGGTTTCACCGCCAAAAACAAATCCGGAGTCGCCCCGTCCAAGGTCAGCAGCTCCCTGCCCCGGCCTGGACACAAGGACCAGAGGTACGCCTGCCCCGGCGCCCCGCTCCCAGGACCTGCCGCCCCCTCTGCCCTCACCCTGCCTGGCCACACTCCTGCCTGCCAAGCGCCCACAGTACCTCCCCCGGTTGGTCATCTTTGGGGCTCGCCTGCTCCAATGTGACCTCGTAGGGGCTCTTCCCAGGCCCCCCCATACAACGCAGATGCCACCCTACCTGTCGCTCTCAGCCGCTTCACCCTGCTCACGCTTTCCACCAGTGACCGTCTGCCCCGTGGTTGCCTGTCTCTGGCCGCTGTCGTCCGACAGGGGCTGGAGCTGTGCTGACCTGGTCACATGGCCAGGACCTGGGACGGTCGACCTGATGGACGCAGGAGTGATGGAGCACGTGGGGCCAGCACGCCGTGAAGCAGTATCCCAGAGCCTGCGGGAAGAGAGGCCGTGCGATGGGTCTCGCCGTCTGCCCCCACCGGGGAGAGGGGCGGGAGGACACGACGGCGAGGCGGGTAGCCACACTGGGAAAGCATGAGAGACGAGGCAGGCAGCATGAGTCCACCGCCAGAGATGCGTCCTTGACAGACCAGCCCACGTGCCAGGGTCCAAGAGGTCGCTGGAAGGCCCCGGGAGACCGGCTCACCCGCTCTTCACAGCGGGGAGGGACCCATCTCTCTCCTTCTGTTCTCCGGAGGGGGAGCACGGGGGACCCGGGCCACGGCCGGCAAGGCCCCATGCACATCCTCACGTGGCCCAGCAGCTCGTCCTGATTTCAGAACTTAAAACAAAGCCCAGTGATCAAAACGGTATGGAGCTGGTGTAAGGACAGATGTGCAGACCAATGGAATAGAACAGAGAGCCCCAAAATAAACCCTCAAACGTACAGTCAGTGACCCTCTACAGGGGGCCAGCATCACTCACTGGGAAGGACAGTCCCTTCGGCAGATGGTGCTGAGAAAACTGGACGTCGCGGGCAGAGGAGGGTGCTGGACCCTTGTCCGGCGCCGTATACAGAAAGTAACTCAGACCCAAACCAACAACTCCTAGAAGGAAACCGGGCAGAGCTTCCTGGCCCTGGATGTGGCACGGATTCCGTGGACGTGGCCCCAGACGCCCAGGCACCGGCAGGAAATGTTGCCGCCCCGCGTCTGTGCGGAGCCTCCTGGAGGCACGCTCCTCCCGCCCCCTGCGGTCTGTGCCCCCCTGTGCGCGGCAGGGCCGGGTGCCACGGGGCGTCCCGCCCATCCGTCTGCAGATGCTCAGGGGAAGCTCACGCGGCTAAACCCACCTCGTCAACATGAGGCCCTTTGGGCAGAAATGCCCCCTGACACGCGCAGCCCTGAGCGGCGTGAGCGGGGCGGACTGTTTCTCGGACACAGGGGTGGGCGTCACGGAGGGGGCCCGGCCTGTGATCCACCTCTGCAGGGAGAGGTGAGGCTGTGGTCCGCAAGCAGCCTGCGGGGCCGATGTGCAGAGTCCGCAACCCCCCTTCACCTTCCCTGCAGGACTGTGTGCGTGGGACAGGCCCTGGTCAGCCCCGCGGACACCAACGACTCCTCCACCCGTGATACGTTCAGGTGGGGTGAGGAGGGGGACGGGAGGGCCGGACCCCCTAGAGGTCTTGTCCTTGCATCCGGGGCTCCCAGCTCGCAGGGTCTGTCCCCGGAGAAGGCGGTCTGGCCGCGAGAGGCCACGCAGAGGCCAGCTCGGGGATATCACGAGTGAACGCTAGAAGTTCCAGCACCGTGTCCACCGGCCTCGGGTCACGGCTACACGCTCTCACCTGCGCCCCCCGCAGTGCCTTCGTGCAAACATGCGAAGGAGAAGCTTCGAGAGACTTCATGGCCGACCGCGCCCCAAATCCTGACTTTCTGCCCCTGTAGAAAAGCAGCGTTTGCAGCCAGAGAGCACATCCCAGTGCGGCTGGTGCGGTAGCTGTGCGTCCATCACTGCCCGGCGTTGCCCTGGAAGGGCCAGAACCGCATGCGCGGCCTCCATGGAGCCCCGGCCTTCACTCCGCACGGGCAACGGCAGAGCCGGGCCTCCCTGCTCCCCTGAGCCGGGGGCCACCTGCTCCCGGGGGCCATGCAGGTGGCCGGGGGGGAAGCTGCCCAAGAGAGCGGTTGTGGTAGGAAGGTTGCTGTTACTGTTTGCAGAAGGGATTTCCTGTTTTGTTGACTTTTGTCTAGATTTACCCCACTTTCTTTTTTTGTGGGTATATTTCCCTCTCACTTTCTGATATAGATACATCAAAATGGGGCCGTTTGGGGTCCAAAATGCCTCCTGCAACCCTTGCCAACGTCTCACCAAAATACCAGTGAAGACTCAAAAAAGCCAAGGTGCAGATGGGTAAGAGATTAATTTTTAAAACAAAGTGATTGAAGTACGAGGAATAAGTGAACACAATGTTTATTTTTCTCTCAAGTGAGGAAATACTCTCTAAGCATATCACAAAGGCAGAAACTATAAGGATTAAGAAATTAAGAATTAAAATTTCGGGGGCGCCTGGGTGGCTCAGTCGTTCAGTGTCTGCCTTCGGCTCAGGTCATGATCCTGGGGTCCTGGGATCGAGCCCCACGTTGGGCTCCCTGCTCCGCGGGAAGCCTGCTTCTCCCTCTCCCTCTGCCCCTCCCCCCTGCTCATGGTTTCTCTCTCCCTCTCTCTCAAATAAATAAATAAAATCTTTTAAAAAATAAGTAAAAACTTTAAAATAAAAAAAGAATTAAATTTTTTTGTGTAACAAAGAACGTTTCACGAACAAAACAGAATGGCCAATGATTTTAGGGAGGGCAGGCATTTCAGCTTATGTCATCATATGATGATGGAGGCAACACTTTGAACTATAAAGAGAGGATTCAGGTGCCTGAGAGAAAGTGTGGTCCCTTCGCGGGCGACCCCGTTGGACGTCTCTGCCCCAGCTTCCCCTGCACCTCTTTTGGGGCCTGCGCTCGGCTATCCCCAAGGCCTGGCTCCCACCTGGTCGGCAGCCTCCGTGGTGCCTTCCGGGAGCTGGGGGCCAATCACAGCTTTGTCGGTCCTGGGATGGCGGGATGGGGCAGGGGGCTGAGGATACCCGGGCCCGGCCGCCTTCTCTGTCTGTGTGACTTGCTGGCTCCCGGGGCCGGTCCTGGGACCACCTTCCAGATAAACGGCTTACAGGCAAATCCTTGACTCGGGATCTGGTTCTGAGAGAATCAAACCAAGCCCCAATTAAAAGTGGGGAAATGTCCACAAAAAGAGAAACACAAATAGCCAGCCGCTCTGTGGGAAAGGTTTGGGACTCTGAGACGCCCACCTTCTAAAGGCAGCAGGATCCCATGAGCCTATCGTTCCAGCGAGCGGTCTGGGCAGCGCACGGCCGCCATGAGACGCACGTGCATTCACCACAACGCGTCCACGTCCGTAATTTCCCAGGAGCTAACTGGGTAACTGTGCAGACAGATCCAGGTACGGACAGGACAGTCAAGGCAAATGCAAAGAAAAGCAGGGAAACCTGAATGCCCAATAACAATGCATTGAAATTATTGATGATCTCCACATGAAATAGCACGTAGCCGTTAACATATCCACGCAGAAGAATGTTCCCGATTTCCTAAGTGAGGAGCACGGGCGGAAAGCTGTGTGGCGTGGGGACCCATCTCGAGCCCGGCGGGTGAGTTCTGCACAGGAAGATGCCAGGGGGGTAGAGCAAGCGTGCGACTGTTGCTGGGAATAGTGGATGGTTTGTATTATTCTGTCTTTGCCTGCCTGTGATTCTCACTTTCCCGTAATGAGTACGCACAGGTTATGTGATCTGAGAAAACCTGGCACTTGCTTCTGCCAGAGAAGAGCTCCTTGTGGTCGCTGAGCGCCGGGCAGCGCTCGGTGGGGCCCCAGACGCGGGGCCTCGGCGCCGGCACTCTGACCACTGGGCCAGGAGCCCCCGCCCCGCGGACACGCGCCCCAGGCACGGGCTGCCTCCCCAGTGGTCACTGAGCCTTCGGGGAGGCTCGGCTCTCTGCTTCCTTACGGTGCGGGGCCCTGATTGGCCAGGCTGGGTCCCTTGGAGCAGAGGAGGCGGGTCCACCCAGGGGAACACGCAGGTGAGAGTGGGGAGGGGCCCCGTGGGAACTGTGGTGTTGGGACTTATAGGAGGGGCCTGGGTGCCCCACCCCAGGGGCAGGGCCTGCTCCGGGGCCTTGAGCAGTCACTGCTGTCCCTGGAGGACAGGCGACTGCCCAGAGGTACAGAGCTGAGCCCTGGCCCCTGCCTGCCTCTCCCACCCCAGGAGCCCCGGGAGAGGGAGGCTCCGGACCGCAGTGTCAGGACCCCTCAGCCAAGGACAGGCTGGTGTGGAGGGGGTCAGGGAAAAGGGGAGGACACTGGGGACACGGACTGGACAAACAGGTGGCCAGCTGGACTAGTGGGCAACCTGTGCCCAGGACACATGCAGCCTCTTGGGGCCCAAGCCCCGCCAGTGAGCGTCCTCCCTGGGGCTCTCCCCTGGGACTGCCCACCTGGGGCTATGGCCCTGGGGAGTCTGCAAGGTGGGCAGGTTGTAAATCCCCCCAGAGTAGCAACAGGAAGCCCTGTGAGTGTCCTGCCAAGCGGGTCACCTGCGGCATCCTTGCCCGTGACGGCACCACTCGCATTCCTCGGGGCGTGAGGCCCCTCCCTGCCACGCTAGGCCGCAGAGCAGGGCGGAGACGGTAGGAGGGAGAGCCCCCCTCTGCTCACCCGGCCTCCTCTCAGCAAGCACAGCCCCACCCCACCGCAGCCTGACGGCTGGCCCTTTGGTCTCCTTGTCTTTGCTGATGGCACGAGGTCACTCCTGACTCACTGGGCCCTCTCGGGAACAGAATGGCCAAGGGGGGCACCTGTCCCCGCCAAGTGGGACTCAGGGCCGGGCTGCCCAGACGGTGAGGTGGGGGCAGTGACAAGAACACCCCACTTAGCAGACATAAAGAGACACATTACAGAGCACAGCTGGCCCTGCACGATGCACCCACCGCATGACACGCCTTCCATGCTCTCATTCAGCAAGAACCGAGAGCATGGCTCCCAGGAGCATCGAGGATCCCGCCAGCCCCACCTGGGCATGCGGGACTCGTCTGCGGGCAGCCAGAGGCACCCCCTGCTTCCCTGCCCCCCCCCATGCCCAGGCAGGGGAGCCCTCTTAGCACACGCAAAGAGGACTTGGTTCCCTGCCCATCACTCCCACTGGAGGCAGAAGTGCTGAATAAAACATGAACAGTTTTTCCTCAGACACTTGAGCACACTGGCAGGTGAGGAATGAGCACTGGGAGACTGGTCCTGGCATGCGTGCAGGAACACGGACCCAGACCTGAGGCCCACATGGAGGAGGAGGACACAGCCCAGGGCCCCTAGAGGAGCTGCGGAGCCGGAGATCCTGTCCACACTGGGACCCCACCCTCCATATAAGGACGGGCCAGGACAGCGCCCCACGCCTGCCACCCGGGGCGCTGCCGGTCTCTAACGTCGGCTCTCGTGGAGGAGAACACCTCTCCCTTGAGATCTGTGGCTGCCCGCTGACCTGCATGACCCTCACTCCACATTCACATTCCCTGAGGGGTCCAAAGCCCAGAATTTCAGATGGAGTGCTTTCAGCCAGTGACTGTGGGAAAAACCCAAGCTCCACCTGACCTCAAGGGGTTCCTGTGGATGCACAGCCCAAGACCCATGAAATCATGGCAAATAATCACACGCTGAAAAGGCAACAAGGCGCCACGTGTGAGCCAGAAAATACACGGGCAGCAGAACATGGCTCCCAAATACTCCCATGACGGGATTTTCAGAGCAGAATATCCAGTAATTAAGTAAATAAAAAGGGGATGTAACTTTTGAATAAGGAGCGTGTGACTATAAAAACATGATCAAGCCAACTGAAAACAACTAAATAGAATTTCTAAAAGCGAAAAATATAACAAATGGAGATAAAAACTCATGGATTAAAGAATAAATACAATTTTTAAAATATAAGTTCAGTCGTCAGTGGATCGACTCCATGATAGATGTAGTTAGAAAGAGAGCCAGTGAAGTAGAAGGGTGGTCAGAAGAAATTCTCTCTGATTCAGCAGAAACTAAAGCATGGAAAACGTGAAGGGCACATGATGGAGAGCGAAGAAAGAGGCAAATGTGTGCAGTTGAATCTAAAAAAGGTAGATTAAGGTATCACAACTGTTTATCAGCCAAGGTCAACCTGAAACAGGACATGTGGGGCACGCAGCGCAGGAAGTCCCACTTGGACCTTGGTGCATCGAGTGGGCGAGTTACCGACTGAGGATCTGGTCGTGAGGGGACGTTGGCGGGGATAGAACATGCCTTCTGTTCAGAGACATCGAGAAGGGGGCGGAAAGCAAACAGGTAAAGGAGACAAGTGTCGAGTGTAAAACAAACATGCAGTGGGGATCAATGACTCTGAGGGTGATCGGTGGAATGGACAAGCCTCTGGAGGAGGAATGGACAGGAGGCAGAATGGGGTGTCACAAACAACTTTACGCCCATCTATTTGAAAATTTGGGTGAAGTGGACACAATTCTAGAAAAATAAGACTTAACAAAAGCAGGTCAATAAGAAATAAATAACCTGAATAATCCTATAAACATAAATTACATTGGATCAGTAGATAAAAACCTTTCAAAAGTTTTTACCAGCATTTCAGAAAGAATTAAGAAATAATTCTAATCTAAAAAAGATGATTTCAGAGTATACAAAAAGATTTTTTAAGAAGTCTGTATGATCTATCAAAGCTTCTGTTAAACTGAACTATAGCGGACACACGGTGTTCCGATGGCTTCAGGCATGCATAGTGACTCGGTGAGTCCGTACCTCATGCTGTACTCCCTAGCACCTAGCATGTCTTCATGGGGAGCTCCTGCATGCGTTCCCTATAAGATGTGGATCAGGGCAGACGTGCCTGCTGCCACCATCCTAGACAACGTTGTACCAGTCCAGGAAGGGTCACAGGAAAGATTGGAAAAGAAATCAACAGTGGCTCAAACACAGAGAATTTTCATCTTCTCACCTAAATGTAGGCATCCCGGGGCTGGACTGAGACCCCATCCTCCTCTTACCCTGCTGCAGAAGTCATCCTCAGGACTTGATTGCTAACTCAGAGTCTAAGAGGGCTGCCTGAGCGCCAGCCACCACATCTGTATTCCAGCCAACAGGAGGAAGGTATGTGTCTGCTCTCTGGACTTTACTTGAGAGGCACCCCGGCCACTTCCACTTCCGTTTCTCTGGCCAGAGTGTATGGTCAGACCTAGCTGTCACCTTGACTCTGGGTGGCCATGAGTCCAGAACAAATGGAGAGTGGGCCCAGGGACTCAGGTGGAGGGGAGAGCCTGGGCAGGGGGCACACAGGGGACCCCGGCCAAGACTAGAGGGTGTCCCCCTAGCAGAAGCCGTGCCTCCACCGTCCACAGCCTGCCCAGGCTCCAGAGCCCATGGGAGGCGGGGAGAGGAGGCCAGGGCGGCCATCGCTGGGACAGAGCTGGTGCAGGGTTCCAGGGGAACGCGGGATGCTGTGTGAACTTGCTCACCTCAGGGTCACCTACAGAGAAGGCACGTGGTGCAGCTGTTTGGCCGCCGGATCCGTGGGTTGCCAGGAGGGCTTTTAGTGATTTTGCAGAGCACGGTTGTGTTTTGTCAAGCTTCAGCAAGTGTATTTTTAGCTCGAGGACTCAGGGGCAAGCTGACTGTGCGTCCTCAGAGGCTGAGAGGTGCTGTCAGGGCCCAGGCACCGGCTGCAGGCCCCACCCCATCCATGCAGCATCCCACAGGGAGGCCGAAACCCAAGGTCTTGTTGTTGTTGGGCTGGTGTGTCTGTAGGGTTGGGGGAAGCAGTGGGCTTCCTCTGGGTCACTCACATGCGCTCGGGAGTGTTGTAAGCACGCCATGCTGGGGAGCTGGCTGCCTTCAGGCCGCGAGCACGTGCGGTGCGTGAGCAGGGACGAACAGAGTTGCAACGGGGCGGGGGTGGGGAGCTCGGGGACCCAGGGACGCAGCTCAGGTGGGGAGGGCTGGGCTTAGGGTCTGGCCCAGTGTCCTGGCTGGGCAGCAAGCCCTCTTCTGGGAGTAGGGGTGCTGGTTGCTGGGAGGGGCAGGGCGACGTGGGTTCTTCCAGCACGAACCCTTGCCCTGGGGGCTCGGAGGTGGAGGTAGAAGGGGCAGGTCTGCGAGCTGGCCTCTGTCACCTCTCCGTAGGATGCTCTGTCCCCACTTCCAGCAGGAAGGCCCCAGCCTTGCAGATCTCCCATTGAG